TAGATGTGGTGCCCCCGAAGGCCATGGCAGGAGACACCAATGGCAGCTGGCCATGGGACACTCAATTTAGCCACCAGCACAGCCTATTAGGGTCAGCGAAAACCCTGTCACTTCCATTTCTTAAAGCTCCCAGAGTAGTAAAAAAAAGAAGAAGAAACAAGGCTCCTGAGTTGTGGTATATTTTAAATGTTTACTTTGAGTAGAGTAACGGTTTTAACACCCACACAGAGCAGTGTGACTGTGCTATTCACAAGACAACAAATATTTATAAAACAAACAAATAAACCATAGTGTCCTAGAGGCTGGAAATGGCATACCAGTCTAAAGTCAATTGATGAGTGTGGCTGTGTGGCTTCTTTCAACCCCATTTTTTGCCTGAAGGAGCCCTGTTTAAAGCCCTTGGCTACTAACCAAAAAGGTCACCAGTTTGAACCTACCAGCCACTCCACAGTAGAAAGATGTGGCAGTCTTCTTCTGTAAAGATTTACAGCCTTGGAAACTCTATGGGGCAATTCTACTCTGTCCTATAGGATCCCTCGTGAGTCAGAATCGACTCCACAGCAGTGGATTTGGGTTTTTTTGGTATTAGCCCGGTTCGTGTGTTAGCTTCATTTGAAAGAAGGTCAAGCATTTACCTCTAAGGAGGCCTTTGGTGACTGTGGTGCCCAGCCCTCCCCAGCACTAGACTTGACCTGGCCTGGGGTCTCTAAATGTGGCTCTCTGGAGTCTAGGTTTGCCCACATCTTTTTCCCATCATCCCTGGGTGCCCTATGGTGGAGAGTCAGGACCAACTTGAGAGAGCAGGTACCTGGAAGTGCCCAGTGGGAGAGACCAGTGAGGGCCAGGTCTTGGGCTAGGTGCCCCCATGTATGGGTCAGTTAGCTGCACTCTACCCCCTGCTGGTCATTACAGAAATGGGTGACATTGGTCTAGGCATTGAACAGTGGTCCAGGGAGCCCAGGCGATCCCCAGCACTTCTCAGGGATCGCAAGGTCAAAGCAACTTTCATAATAATAATGAGATGTTTGAATTCATTCTCTCACATGAGCACAGAAGGTGAAAAGTTCCCTGATACAGATGTGTCTTAGTTCCTTAATGCTACTGTAACAGAAATACCACAAGTGAATGACTTTAAAGAATAGCAATGTATTTTCTCAGTTTATGAGGCTAGTAGTTTGGAATCAGGGCACCAGTTATGGGGGAAGGCTCTTTCTCTGTTGACTCTGGGGGAAGATTCTTGTCTTAGCTTCTGTGGCCTGTATTCTGGGTTCCTTGGCAGTCTTCAGGTGTATCTGTTTTCCCCCATTTGTGCTTGCTTGTATATGTCAGTGCCTATGCTATATAAGGAGCTCGGGTGGAATAGTGGCTAAGGCATTTGGGCCCTAACCAAAAGGTCGATGGTACGAACCTACCAGCCGCTCTGCGGAAGAAAGATGACTCAGTCTGCTTCCGTAAAGATTTATAGTCTTATAAACCCAATGGGGGTCTCTATAAGTTGGAACAGACTTGAGGCAATGAGTTTGGTTTGGAGTTTAATCAGAAGTGATTAGGTTTAGGGCATATTCTACCCTGATAATGGACTTAATTTTATAATCAAGAAAACCCTGTGTCCACATAGGATTACGTCTACAGATAGAGGGGTCAGGACTCCATTATGTATTTTGGTGGGACACGCTTCAATCCATAACAAGATCCTTCGGAAATTACCATTTGTTGAATTTTGGTATAGTTATCTAAGAAGAATATCCACAATTATCTGAAAAGGCTATTAAAATTCTCCTCCCTTTTCCAATTACACGTATCCGTGAGACTCAGTGTCCTTCATGTAATTCAAACAAAACAACATTTTGCAAAAGACTCAAGAAACAGATAGGAGCATCCAGCTAAGCCAAATATTAGATAGATTTGTAAAAATGTAGAGCAATACCCCTTTTCTTACTAACTGTTTTTGATTTGAAAATATAGTTTTCATAATGTTAATTATATGGCCTTCCAATGGGTTTATTTTTTGACAAATTAAATATTTTAAAATTTTTTCTCAGTTTTTAATTTCTAGTATTTTAAATATCTCTAGATACAGTCTGCATAAATAAAAATTCTTTGGAATTCTCAATCATGTTTTATGCCAGTTTTATTGAGATAGAATTTATATACCATAGGAGAAAGTGGGAAGAGAGCTGTTACGTTGTGGGGAATTGCTCTCAATGTTATGAGAGAAAATGTGTATGAACTGCTGTATGGAAAATGAATTTGCTCTATAAACTTTCACCCAAATCACAATAAAAATTTAAAATATATAAATTAAATAAAGGCATGTTATATTGTTGTTGTTATGTGTCGTCGAGTCAAACCCGACTCATAGTGACCCCTCCTTGGGTTTCCGAGGCAGTATCACTACGGAAGTAGGATTGCCCAACCTTCCTTCCGAGGAGTGGCTGGTGGGTTTGAACCGCCAGCTGTCTGGTTAGTAGGCAAGTGTCTTAGCCACTATGCTACCAGAGCTCCCAAGGCATAGGACCAAAAAAAAAAAAAAAAAAAAGAATTTATATGCCATAGAATTCACTCTTTTAAAGTGTACAGTTCCATGGTTTTTAGTATATTTACAGAGTTGTGAACTGTCTTCACTGTCTAATTTTAGAACATTTCATCACCCTGAGAAGAAACCTTGTACCCATTAGTGACCCATTAGCAGTCACTCCTCTTTGCTCCAGCCCCTGGCAACCACTAATCTACTTTCCTTCTCTATAGATGGAGATGGAAAAGGACACGAGGGACACTGAGTCTCTCACAAGTATGTGTGGGAGTTGGAAAAGGGAGGAGGATTTTAATAGTCTTTACTGATAATTATGGATATTTTTCTTTGATAACTGTATCAACATTCAACAAATGGTAATCTCTGACCACGTCATATAAATGGAATCATACAATACACGGCTTCTTTGACTTAGCGTCATAGTTTCAAGACTCATCCTTGTGTGAGTGCTGTATTCCTTTTTATAGGTGAATAGTATTCCATTGGATGAATGTATCACAATTTTTAAAAAATTTTCATTGTGATTTGGGTGAAATTTTACAGAGCACATTCATATTCCATACAGCAGTTCATACACATTTTGTTTCATGCCATTAACTGCAATTCTCCACAATTTAACAGCTCTCTCTTCCCACTTCCTCTCAGTGGTTACTTCTTCCCTGTGTCCTTCCTTCCCACAGACCTCCCCACCCCCCAAGCTATGTCTCTGTGCAAACACTGCCCTTCTGTTCTCCCATGATTGATCGCTCCAAGGAGTGTACCTGATGTAAATGTTCACCCCATGTGCCTGTCTATTGTTTGGCTGGAAGTGAGTGAGTTTGGTTCTAGACCTGAAGAGTAGTTAGGGCTCATAGTCTCAGGGTCTCACCAGGCTCTATCAGACCAGCAAACCTGGTCTTTTTTATGATTTTGAGCTGACGATATCACAATTTTTTTTATCCATTCATAAATCATAGGCAGTTGGGTTGTTTCTACCTTTCGATTATTATGACTAATGCTGCTATCAACAAGTTTCTGTGGGGACATGTTTCCATTTCCTTCGGGTATGTTGTTGTTGTTATGTGCCGTCGAGTCGGCCCCAACTCATAGCGACCCTTCCTTGGGTTTCCGAGGCAGTATCACTACGGAAGTAGGATTGCCCAACCTTCCTTCTGAGGAGTGGCTGGTGGGTTTGAACCGCCAGCCGTCTGGTTAGCAGGCAAGTGCCTTAGCCACTATGCTACCAGAGCTCCCTTCCTTCGGGTATATACCTACATATATACCCACCAGCCACTCCATGGAAGGAATAATGGGCAATCTACTTCCACAAAGATTTACTGCCTTGGAAACCCAAAAGGGGTCGCTATGAGTCGGAATCAACTCGATGGCAGTGAGTTTGGTTTGGGGTTTTATATATCTAGGAGTGGCATCGCTGAGTCCTATGGTCCTATTCTATGTTTAACATTTAAGGAAGTGTCAAACTATTTTCCAACCTTAATTATTTCTAGGAATGTAAAAGGGTCCTGGGTTGGAGAACCACTGGTCTCGATGGAATTAGTACAGAGAGTATGGGTGATCCAGTGTAGGTCTGCATTCTTGCTATAGGGTTGAGATACCCTCAAACTCATCTCTCTCCCCCTTTCCCCATTTCTTTCCCCCTAAAACACATACATACACACACATGCATACACACCCTTCATAATAGATAATCAGAGTTGGTTGTGTCCTTGGTGGCACTGTCCACAAGTTAAACCATGAGGAAGTTCTGGCACAGAGGCCGTGCCCTGTAGGATTCTGGGAGGTGCTGTTCTCATCGTCGTCCCTGCAGATGGTCCCTCTGGAGTTGTGCTGCAGCTACCACTCTGCCCTTCTCCTGGCTTTGGAGAGCATTGTGATCTGTCAGTGGGATCCTTTTGGGAATTAGAGGCCATGGAGGCCTTGTTTGCAGAGCTAAGGAAGGTGGGCAGCTTCAGCCACCCATGGGTCTCGGGCTTCTGCTCAAGGTCCCTCAGGTTTAACAGCAATATAGGGGCTTGTCCGGGCCCCTCCTGCAAAGTGATATGCTAAGTACAGCAGGAGCTGCGCTTGAGGGGAACAGGGGTCAAGTGCCCTGCAGGGCTTGCCAGCTAAGTTCACATTGATAAGGGTGTGGCCCTTCTCTCTTCTCTGCTTCTAACCTTTTGATGTGCTGCTGGTCATGTCCACTCTTGTCACTTAGCCATGTGATCCACTTAGTTATCCCTCCTAAAATGACTACCCTCTTCAAAGAGGACCTTTGACAGAGCTGCCTTTAGCATGAGGAATAATCTGTGTTGTGGGTTTCAGGATGGGGGGGGGACATGGAGATAGGTTGGAAATGCCAAATATCTGGTGCCCTGAGTTTAGTGGGACCGTGTCTCCAACTGCAGCCCCCTCAGTGATGCTCTCACTTCCCCCACCCTTGTCATTGCAGATGTGACTCTTGGTCCTTGGTTGTGTACCCTGAACCATGGCTGACACCATCTTCAGCAGTGGGAATGACCAGTGGGTTTGCCCCAACGACCGGCAGCTTGCCCTGCGAGCCAAGTGAGTACCTCCAAGGCCCTGCCAGACCTTCCCTTCCTCCTCTCCCTGCTTCCCACCTTGCTAACTCATCGCCAGCGACTCAGAAAGAAAAGGTTGGAGAGATGTGCCTGTCAGACCCAAGCTGGGCACTCCCCGGCCATTCACTCATTTAACCAGTGCACAGAATGACTCCATTTTGCAGATGAGGAAAGTGAGGCTGAGCTCCTTATGCCAAATCACTTAACTTGTGACCCAAACCTGGGTGCATCTGACTCCCATGTCTGTCCTTTCTATCACAACAGGCTGCCAGGAACCAGCTACCTCATTTGCCGCCTTCTTTGTCATGAGTATAAATTCCCTGTCATGGAGCCTTACGTCTGTGAGCCCCTATGGCAGGGGGCTTTGGTCTCTGGTACCCTTTCAGAGCTTGGTGCCAGATAGGATAGAGCAAATATGTGTTGGATGAATGAAGAGCTGCCCCTTCAGCTAAACCATCCCACCTTGAGTCATCCCAGGTCTCATGTTAGTGCCTCTCTAGTTTCCTGGTTCCCATCTGTCCCTTTAAGGGCCCTAGTCTTCTCGTTACCCTTCAGCCTGGTAACCTCCTCTGCTCCACCTAGTAAGGCCATCTCTATTCATTGTGTGGCTGGAGACTAAGGGCGCCCAGATGCCTCTGTTGCCTCCAAGAGGCTGAGAATCCCTGGAGTCTGCTAAGTCCAAGAGTGCCCCTTCAGCTGTCAAGCCATGCCAATTATGAGAGTCAGCGTTTCCCATTCGGGACCAGGCTTAAGAAATTTGCAAGTAGACCGTTTTGAGCCTGCAAGGGGACAGAGCTGAGCATCAAAGTGGGGATAGAAAAATTAATCCAAAAAGCCCCAGAGGAGTGGAGTGATGTGTGATTTGCAGGAATCTTTGCACAGTAGTTCTTTGTCCTCCTCGCCCGAATGGTTCCTCAAGTAAGTCCCTTCAGCCTCTGATACTCGGCCCTCACAGCTCCCACAAGGGGTGAGAACAGGGATGAAGTCGTTGCTCTCGCTCTCTCTCCACTGCCGCAGGGGAGATGATTTGTCCTCCCCCTGGCAGGATGTGAGATGCTGGAGAGAGCCCAGCACCCCGTCTAGTACAAGGCCTCCCCCCAGCATTCCCTGCAGTCTCCTGACCTCCCCTCCCTCTCAGCTGCAGCCCGGAGCTGTTGTAGCACCTTTTAGAGGAGCAAATGCTTTTATCTCCTCCCCTCTGGAGCTTGCCGCCTTACACTGCCTGGCAGAGTCTCCTGAAGGAAAGTAGTACAACCCCCAGAGGCTGCAGAGCTGGGAACAGTGCCTCAAGGGCCCCTCTGGGAAGCCTGGGGAAATCACCCTCCCCTCCAGCTCAGGACTTCCCTCCGACCCTCCACCCAACATTTTCTAATCACCTACTATCTTAAGGAACTGATGGGGAGGAGTGAACATTCCACAAATAATTATACATGAACTTGTGCTTTCACAGAGGAGCTCTGGTAGTGCAGTGGTTAAAGTATGTGGCTGCTAACCAAAAGGTCAGCCATTCAAACCCACCAGCCGCTGCGCAGGAGAAAGATGAGGCAATCTGCTTCTGTGAAGATTTACAGCCTTGGAAACCCTGTGGGGCAGTTCTTCTCTGTCCTGTGGGGTTGCTTTGAGTCAGAATCGATGGGTTTGTGCTTTCACAATGATAGCGGGACGTTGCAGGGTAGAGGGCTGCTCACTTAGTCTAAGGGTTGGAAAAGGCTTCTCTGAGCAGGTGATGCATATGCTGAGACTCGGAGGAGGGGTAAATGTTAGGGGGAGACTAGAAGGAACAGCATGTACAAAGGCCATGCAGTGAGAGGCACATGGCCTGTAGAGGACCTGAAAGGCAGCCAGTGTGGCTGGAATGCAGAGTGAGGGCACCAATGACATGAAAGGAAGATGGTGAGGTGGGCAGGGCCCTGTGCTCCAGAGACTCATATTCTGGAGGGGGAATTGGAGAACCCAAATGCCACACACTAATTGTTCAAGGCCAGTGATGGAGATACGCCTGGGCCTGATGGGAACTCTGAGAATGGCCTCCTGACTTGTCTTGGAGGGGATCTAGGAAAAGCCTCGTGGGGAAAGCCATGTCTGAGAGAAGTTTGTAAAAAGAACAGGATCAATTCTACTCCTAGTTGTATGCATACCCGGAAGAATTGAAAGCAGGGTCTCAGACACATTCTTGTATAACAGTGCTCATTGCAGCACTGTGCAAATAGCCAGAAGGAGCAGCCCAAGTGGCAGTAACTCAGTAACCTCTATTCTACTTTCTGTCTCTATGAATTTGCCTATTCTAGGTGCCTCATGTAAGTGGAATCATACAATGTTTATCCTTTGGTGTCTGCTTTCACTCAGCATATTTTTCGAGGTTCATCTATGTTGTGGCATGTATCAAAACTTCATTTCTTCCTATCATTGAATACTATTCCATTGTATGTAGAGACCATATTTAGTTTTTCCATTTTTCTGTCAATGGGCACTTGGGTTGTTTCCACCTTTAAGCTGTCATGAATAATGCTGCTATGAACCCTGGTGTACACATATCTGTTTGAGTCCTTGCTTTCAAGTCTTTCGGGTCATACCTCTGTTTTGGTTATCTAGTGCCACTCTAACAGAAATACCACAAATGGGATGCCTTGAACAAACAAGAGTTTATTCTCTTACAGTTTGGAGGCTTTAAGTCCAAGTTCAAAGTGCCAGGCTCTAGGGGCTGGGTGAAAGCCCCTCAACCTTGGAATCCAGCTCTGCCTC